ATGTACACAGTGTACTGTGTACTTTTACTAAGGTCATGTACACAGTGCACTGTGTACTTTTACTAAGGTCATGTACACAGTGTCCTCCTGTTTCTGTGAAAACCTTTGGGAAGTGACCTGTATGTAGTAAAAAGCTCTTGAATGTGTGTTATTGGGGTGCATGGGTAACCTAGGTGTAGAACAAATTTCATAGAACAGATTTTTTTCTGATTGAATCCATGAATCCATCTCTTTGACTAATTGAGAGGGTAACTTTGGAGATGGACTGGGTCATTGTAGAGCCTTCCTCGTCTCTCCCTGATGTTGTTTGTTGTTTTTTTGACAGTGTGGTTATGATCAGTTATCTTCCATTCAGTTTGGTTGCATCATTTTTGATGGTCAGATAAGATGTTTCTGTAGACTTCAGTAAGTTCTTCAGTCCCCATCACTTTGGTAAACCCTCATGTTTGTTTCATCAGTTCAGAAAACTGAACCCGTCTTTGTATGTTTGGGCAAATTCCAGTCTGGCCTTCGTGTTCTTGCTTATCCAGGAGGACTCCTGGACCACCTCCCTTTGGAGATTTTCCAGCACGTCCAACTGGGAAGAGGTCCCAAGGCAGACTCAGAACTCACTGGAGGAACTGTGTATCTTCTCTGGCCTGGGAACACTTTGGGGTCTCCCAAGAGAAAATGGTGAGATTTAGGTCTAAGTTTCTCTCCTGGACCTGTTGCCTCAGCAACCCAACTACAGATAAGCAGCAGAAGATGAAGATATGACAAAAGGGCAATAAGAAGAATTCATCATTCTAGTTACAGTCATGACTGCTGGACACGGATAACAGCAACCCCCACAACCTGGAAGTGAAAATCTGGTAAAGATAAATAAATCCCTCGAATGGGAAGCAAAACATCTCAACTCCAGAATAGAAGTTAATTTTTTTTCTATGTTCTGTTTTAAAACTCAGATCATTGTAACTTCTGGATGTTTTGTGAATCTTACTGCAGCTCACCTGTTCAACCCTGATGTGGCTCAGCTCAGACCTGCAGACATCCCAGTGTTTCCCCTACCGTTATCCAAGGAGGGTGCCCCGCCCTGTCAACAGAACCGAGCGCCCTGCCTACTGAATGTCCTTCACGGCCCCCCGTCCTTCATCGACAACTGTCGGCAGTGACGTAGCGCTAAACTAGCGGTGCGCAATACAGACACGCTAGTAAAAATGCCACTGATGTAGTGTTCCACTTCTCTCATGCATCCTCCCCCGTCAAAAGTAACGTAGCACTAAGCTAGCGTGCAACACAGACATGTCTCTCCATCCCCACCCCCGTCGACAAAAAAAAAAAGGATCACCCTGCCAAGGGAACTGATCTAGGTTAAACACTGCATCCTGTAGTGTGTGTACCCATGTTTGTGATAATTAGCCCGCCTGTGTTTCCTCCCTCTGTTCTCACAAACCTGGAGAAGGTGGATCCCTCGCTCCCTCGGAAGTTGCAGTTGCTCCTGCGTCTCGTCCTGATCGCTCCTTGTCATTTTGTCGTTGCAGATTGTCGACGGTGTTGTTCAGAGCATCAAGCTGATCACAGAGAATGCCAGCAGACGCATCGCAGAGTATGCCTTCGAGTACGCCAGAAACAACCAGAGAAGCAGTGTTACAGCCGTCCACAAAGCCAACATCATGTGAGTTCAGTTTGTCCTAAGTAAACTGATCCCAGTTGTTCTGGTTCAGACAAACACTGATCAGGACCTAAAGACATGAAGAGGACTTGGGTAAAAAAAAAAAGTGTGCAAATTTCCTACTGACATCTGATCTACGCCTAAATACACTACATTTCTAGAATTGCGCTGCTCGGGGTGGCTGCATGTTGGAGTGGCTCTGTTACTTTCATTCTGAGATATTACTTTTGAAAACTTTAATTCCTCTTTTTTTCTGGATATAAATCGCTTTTTTTTTTTTTGGATGATTATTTCCTCTGGTGTCGGATGCTGTGCAGCTGGAAGGATTTTTTTAATAGAAATATCTTTGTTTTTTGGACATTTGTTATGATGCGTAACCATAACAACAAGGTTGTTTTTTACAACCAGGAGCAGCTGATTAACATCTCCAAAGCTCAAATAATGCGTCGTGGATGCAGAGCAGGAGCAAAGAAGAGGGAGAAAGAGAGAAGAATGCAGTTTAAACCATCTCTTCCATCGATCATGATGGGCAATGTGAGATCGCTGGGAAACAAGTTGGATGAACTTCAAGCCCTAACAAGGACCCATCCAGAGTATCTGGAATGCAGTGTTATGTGTTTCACTGAGACATGGTTGCAGGATCATATCCCCGACTCCAGCGTTTCCTTGCCAGGCTTTCTGACCATACGAGCAGATAGAGATTTAAAGAGGAGTGGCAAAAGGAAAGGAGGTGGGTTGGCAGTGCTTGTGAACAACAAATGGTGTAATCCTGGACATGTTACTGTGAAGTGTCGTCTCTGCAGTCCAGATATTGAACTGTTAGCACTAAGTTGTTGTCCATATTATTTGCCAAGAGAGTTTACCAGTGTTATTTTGGCAACTGTTTATATTCAACCCAATGCTGTTGCTGAGACTGCGTGTGATGTCATCAGCTCAGAGGTTGCTAAGCTACAGACACAACACCCTAGTGTGTTTGTTGCAATATCTGGGGATTTTAATCATGCCTCTCTCTCTGCTACACTTCCGACATTCCAACAGTTTGTCAGCTGCTCTACCAGAGAAAACAAAACGCTGGACTTGTTTTATGCAAATGTCAAGGATTCATATATCGCTAAAGCAAGACCCCCTCTTGGCAAATCAGATCAAAAAATTGTTTCTCTGCTCAAAATATAAACCCCTTGTTCAGAGGCAACCTGCAATAAAGAGAACAGAGAGAAAATGGTCAACGGAAGCTGAAGAAGCCCTGTGGGGTTGTTTTGAGGCTACAGACTGGGATGCACTGTGCCAGCCACATGGAGAGGACATCAATGCCATGACTGAGTGTGTGACCGACTATATAAACTTCTGTGTAAACAACACCATCCCCACCAGAACAGTGAGATGCTTCCCCATTAACAAACCCTGGATTACCACTGACCTGAAGGAACTGCTAAACCAGAAAAAAGAGCCTTCAGGGAGGGAGACAGGGAATTATTGAGGAGCACACAGAAGCAACTAAAAGTCAAGATAAGAAACAGCAAGGAGGTGTACAAGAAGAAGCTGGAGAGCAAGCTCCAACAGAACAATATCAGAGAGGTGTGGTCAGGGATGAAACAGATCACAGGCTTCAAGCAGAAGGAGGATCAGAAGGATCCATCCTTCTGATCTGGACAGAGCCAATGAACTGAACACATTCTTCAATAGGTTCAGTTCAGGAACAAGCTCAGCATCCTCCGCTCTTGCCCACAGCCAAACATACATACCACCCTCCATTGACCCAAGGCTGTCCTGTCACACCTCAAATATTGTATCTACCACCTCAGTCATGGACCCTTCTTCTACTTATTGGTCTTCAACCATATCAGAAGATGCTGATACCTCTTTTGCCTCCCCGCTCTGCGTCTCCAGAAGTCAGGTGAGGAAGCAGCTGGAGAGACTGAACCGGAATAAGGCTGCAGGTCCAGATGGTGTCAGTCCCAAAGTCCTGAAGGTCTGTGCAGAGCAGCTCTGTGGGGTTCTGCAGCACCTCTTCAACCTTAGCCTGAACCAGGAGAAGGTTCCAGTCTTGTGGAAAACATCCTGTCTTGTGTAGATGAACAGATGCTGGGATATATTCATCATTTAACGCGGGTTCCTCATTTTTCTGGACTGAATAAAACGTGCATTGAATTTAAGGAAATGCAAAGTGAGACGTCATTTATATTTGACCCATCAAAATGAATGCGGTCATTTATTTACAGAATCAAATTTAACATCAAACATTTACATTAATTTGGCAAATTATGAAAATAACAATATAAGCAATGAATCAGGAAAAATCATACGGCCATGATTTTTCCGTTGCTGCACCACAGACATTTATAAACTGTACAACTATGATCTTTTACCCACACGGATGTGAATAAGCACTTTACACAGACATTTCTAAATATCTGGGAGAATTTCTACTTGATAGAAAGTTAAAGATGAAAGAAGTTAAAGGGAGTAAGATTGAATGGGAAGGGAGGAATGTTCACCAGAACCGACACTCTCCATCAGAAGCCCAGCTCTCCTTCGGTACGCTTGGTAGGAAACTTGATCCATTACCTTTCTGAAGATTCATCAGCAGATATGGAATTCCGTTAACGCTACCTGTCCAGCGTCTCCTGATGGGGCTGTAGCTCGTCAGAAGTAGTGGCTAGTGAAAGTTATAATCCCATGGAACTCGGAAGAGCCTTTTGTCATGTCAAGATCATCCCGTCTCTAACAGAACTTGAGCAGAACCAGCAGAAAACTCTCCAGCACTCCAGCAACTTCAGAACTCCAGAACTCTAGAAGTCTGACAACTCTCCAACTCCGTAACTCTGTAACCCCGTGTAGACCAGGAAGTACTGACATTTTAAAGACTCTTTCCCGGTTCACTTTTTGGGATTTTTCATTGGTCAGAAACGACCAGACGGGGTGGGTTTTGTGACGTAAGAGGTTAGAGACAGCGAGAATTGTTATGGGACAGCTCAGAAATGTTCTCACAGACCGAGAGGGTTTTGTTTTGGCGTGTTTCAGGACACAGGTGCAAAACATCTCTACTTACGTCTGAGAGGATTCTAAAACATGACAGTTTTAACATAACAACTTGTTTTTCGTTTGACTGTAACCTTGTAAACGCACACACTTGCTCATTCAAAAGCAGAAATCAGAAAATGCATAAACTCTGCAACAACTTTTAACATGAGAATAAAAATCATTACTCAGTTAATAAAATTGATTAGTTCACTGCAACATCTAAAATGGTTTGAACTAAGACACTTTGATTATCAACATTTGTAAGATAGTAATGATAATAAAAAGAGAGTGTTCTTTTCACTTGAATCTTCAAGAAAGAAAGTCTCAGGATGGGTGAACCTGTATTTATGGATTCAAATACATGAAATGACAGCTTCTGTCCCACAAGGTTCTAAAGGTCAAGAGTTTTGACCTTAGACTGGGTTTCGACGTAGGCCTAGTCCACTACACTTGTTCCAGTGCCAAAGAAAACTCACCCATCAGTCCTCAATGACTATAGACCTGTTGTCCTGACATCCCACATCATGAAGGTCATAGAGAGACTTCTGCTGACCCACCTGACTAGACAAACAAGCACATATCAGGACCCACTGCAGTTTGCTTATCAGCGTGGACTTGGAGTTGAAGATGCCATCATACACCTGCTTCAGCAAACTCACAGTCATCTAGAAAAGGCAGACAGCACTGTGAGAGTCATGTTCTTTGATTTCTCCAGTGCATTTAACACAATCCAGCCTGATTTGCTTTGTCAGAAACTCCAGAAGACTCAGGTGGAGGCCTCAACAATCACCTGGATCAAAGACTACCTGACGGACAGACCACAGTTTGTGAGACTGAAGGGTTGTGTGTCTGACCAGGTGGTCAGTAGCTCAGGAGCACCACAGGGGACTGTACTCTCACCATTCCTTTTCACTCTGTACACCTCAGATTTCCAGTACAAAACAGACTCCTGTCATCTGCAGAAATATTCAGATGACTCTGCAGTAGTCGGGTGTATCAGAGATGGACAAGAAGCTGAGTACAGGGAACTGGTGGACCACTTTGTGGCATGGTGTGGAAACAATCATCTCATCTTGAATGTGAACAAAACAAAGGAGATGATTGTAGATTTCAGGAGAATCAGAAACAGGTCCAACCCTATTTCCATCATGGGAGAAGAAGTGGAGGTGGTGGAGAAGTATAAATACCTTGGAGTTCATCCTGGCCAATAGACTGGACTGGAAATGCAACAGTGAAGTGTCTACAAGAAGGGACAGAGCAGACTGTACTTCTTGAGGAAGCTGAAGTCTTTCAGTGTTTGCAGCAAGATGCTGCATATCTTCTATAAGTCTGTTGTAGAGAGTGCTACCTCTTCTGCCATCATCTGCTGGGGGAGCAGTGACTTAAAAAAGATCAATAAGCTCATAAAGAAGGCTGGCTCAGTTCTGGGGACTCCTCTAGAACCTTTGGAGATGATTGTACAAAGAAGGATTCTTCATAAAATGAAGAACATTATAGACGACCCTCAGCATCCTCTTCATCAGACTGTCATACAACAACAAAGTGTCTTCAGTCAGAGGCTTCTTCAGATCCGCTGTAGGACAGACCGCTACAAGAGATCCTTCCTGCCCACAGCCATCAGCATCTAGAACAACTCATTAATGAAACCAGGATGATGAGTTACCACAACATATAATTTCCCTCTGGGATTAATAAAGTATTTTTGAATTGAATTGAATTGAATTGAATTGCCAAAAGTATTTGCTCACCCATCCAAATTATCAGAATCAGGTGTTTCGATCACTTCCATGGCCACGTGTATAAAATGAAGCAGCTAGGCATGCAGACTGTTTTTACAAACATTTGTGAAAGAATGGGTCGCTCTCGGGAGCTCAGTGAATTCCAGCGTGGAACTGATAGGATGCACCTATGCAACAAATCCAGTCCTGAAATTTCCTCGCTCCTAAATATTCCACAGTCAACTGTCAGCTGTATTATAAGAAAATGGAAGTGTTTGGGAACGACAGCAACTCAACCATGAAGTGGTAGGCCACGTAAACTGACGGAGCGGGGTCAGCGGATGCTGAAATGCATAGTGCGAAGAGGTCGCCAACTTTCTGCAGAGTCAATCACTACAGACCTCCAAACTTCATGTGGCCTTCAGATTAGCTCAAGAACAGTGCGCAGAGAGCTTCATGGAATGGGTTTCCATGGTTGAGCAGCTGCATCCAAGTCATACATCACCAAGTGCAATGCAAAGTGTCGGGTGCAGTGGTGTAAAGCACGCTGTCCCTGGACTCTAGAGCAGTGGAGGCACGTTCTCTGGTTTGACGAATCACACTTCTCCATCTGGCAATCTGAATGAATCTGATGGACGATTGTGGGTTTGGCAGTTGCCAGGAGAACAGTACTTGTCTGACTACATTGTGCCAAGTGTAAAGTTTGGTGGAGGGGGGATTATGGTGTGGGGTTGTTTTTCAGGAGCTGGGCTTGGCCCCTTACTTCTAGTGAAAGGAACTCTGACTGCTTCAGCATACCAAGACATTTTGGACAATTCCATGCTCCCAACTTTGTGGGAACAGTTGGAATTGGCCCCTTCCTCTTCCAACATGACTGTGCACCAGTGCACAACGCAAGGTCCATAAAGACATGGATGCAGGGTCTGGTGTGCATGAACTTGACTGGCCTGCACAGAGTCCTGATCTCAACCCGATAAAACACTTTTGGGATGAATTAGAGCGGCGACTGAGAGCCAGGCCTTCTCGTCCAACATCAGTATGTGACCTCACAAATGCACTTCTGGAAGAATGGTCAAACATCCCCATAAACACACTCTTAAACGTTGTGGACAGCCTTCCCAGAAGAGTTCAAGTTGTTCTATCTGCAAAGGATGGACCAACGTCATTTTGAACCCTATGGATTAGGAATGGGATGTCACTTAAGCTCATATGTGAGTCAAGGCAGGTGAGCTAATACTTTTGGCAAGGTAGTGTATGTAATACAGTGTTTTGCACAAACTCAGATGTGTGATTGGCGTGAACCCAAGAACACCTCATTTGTTCGTCCTTATCAGCATGGAGCTGAGGACGTACCAAACACTGACATCACTGCTACAGAGCTGAACATTCTGAAACTGTGGTCTAACCAGCAAAACACACAAACGTGCTCACTTGAACCAACAGGCCTTTTAGATCAGAACAGAATAATAGAATAATCTGACAGTTTATTAGGGATGCACGATATTGGATTTTTGACTGATATCCGATATGTTAAAACTTATTCGGCTGATAACTGATGCCGATACCGATACTTTATATACGTTCCTTTGTCAGAACATAGCCCTCTTATTTAGGCTTATTTGCTACAAAAATTGTGCAACAGCTATAAGAGCTGGTGACATTATTCAGTAACAGCCATATGCATAGCACTTTGACTTATATTAAATGAAAAGTGTTAAATGTTATTTATTAGCCCTGTGATGCTGTCTCACTTGTGGAGGCTTGTTCCAGGTTCCTAGCTGCAGTGTGGGATCCTCTGCACTCCTGTGCATGAAGGACAGACTTTTTAAGTTCAAAGTTTTTGTCTATCCATTGTGCTGTAAGACTAATCATGCTAATGGGGCTAACATGACATCCAAATGTCTGTGATAAAACTCACCCAAGTTCTATCAGCTATTAGCTTCTTAATGACGGCTTGTAACTTGGGTAACGTTACGTCGGAAAAATATCTCAGACTGCAGTCAATGTAGCGAGGCTCAACGTAGTACATAAATCTTCGGAATCTGACATCCTCACCAACGAAAAATAAAATTTCCACACCGCCGACATTTTGATTTCTCCTCTTTGCCGTGAGATCGGGTAGGCGCACGGGACCTCATCGCGTTGCTCTGCCGCTGCAACATCATCACGTTGTGCTGCAACATCATCACGTTGTGCTGCCGCTACAGGCAAAAACGGCGCCTTTTATATCGGCTAGTTATTTTAATGGAATGGCCGATGTCCGATATTGAAATTTAATGTTAATATCGGCCAATACCGGTACAATGCCCATAATATCGTGCATCCCTACAGTTTATTCTTTAGCTCTGACTCTGTCCCATAATGTACAAATCACTTTGTGATCAAATCAAATCTGGTCTTTTATTCTGATGTATGGAGACACTAATAAATAAAATTTAATATAAACTGTTGAAAATGAAGTTTAACTCATGGCAATGAGAGCCCTTTAATCATCATTTGATATGATTCTGATAGAAGTCGTGATGCACACAGGGATAAAAATCGCCTCAGTGGATTTCTGTGATTTAAATGTGGTCAGGACAAATTTCCATCATCTGTAAAAAAAAAATAAATAAATAAATAAATTTAAAAAAAAAAAAAAGAGGGAGGGAAAAATACATCTTTTTTGTTGTGGTTGTGTTAAAGCCATCCAACTTAAGTCAGAGTCAAAGAGATTTATTTGCCATACACACCACATGTGGTACATGTGGTGGAATGAGATTATGTACACAGGGTCCCAGTTACATCCAACAATAAAATGTAAAAGAAAAACAGTCATAAGATCTAAGATATGAACTAAGAAAAACATCAACTAAATATACACTAAGCACTAATAGCATAAAAACAATATGCCAAACAGCAGCACAAACATGAGTCTGTGTGAGCAGATGAGCACGAATGAACACAGCAACATTGAAACAGATCAACAGCAACATGAAACAGATCAGCAGCAACATTGAAACAAATCAGCAGCAACATGAAACAGATCAGCAGCAGCATGATGTGATTTTTCACAGTGATTATTCTGGTTAGAGATTCATGAGTCTAACGCCTCAGGGTAGAAGCTGTTCCTCAGTCTAGTGGTTCTACACTTAATGCTCCTTAACCTCCTTCCTGAGGGGAGCTGGGGAAAAAGTGTATGTGCTGGGTGAGTGTGGTCCTTCTTGATGCAGGTGGCCCTCTTCCTGCATCTAGAGGTGTAGATGTCTGTGATGGTGGGGAGGCTGACTCCAACAGTCTTCTGTGCAGTAATTTGTTCTGTAATTGTGATTTGGGGAACAGAGTGATGCTGCTTTCAACAAATAAAATGAATCAGTCATCCGGAGCAGAGCAGGTCTGGTTGTGTTTTCCATGTCTGGTGCGTTCAGGGCCAAGCAGTTTTCCCAACTTAGAGCGAGACTGCAGGTGAAGGCACCATTTATTGTACAGTTCCTGTCCTGAGCCAGCAGCAGCAGCGTGGTTGTGAGCCTCTCTCTGTCACAAAGCGCTCACAGGCAGTCAGGATCACAGAGACTGCAGCTGCTGTCGGAGCACTCCTCCTCACTTCACCCACAACCTCATGTTGTATCTTAAATCTAACTTGAGAGAGAGAAAAGTCCATAACTTCTCCCTAGCAGATTCATAACTTATGCAAGCAGAGATTATGCGCAACGTTAGTGGAACGTTTGTCAAAGTCATGCATAGCATGTTGGAGCGAGCAGCCTGTTTGAGTGTCTGTGTGACTGACTGTTCCTGCTGCATTAGTTCTTACAATTAAACAATAACTGTAAAAGTTGAATAGTTGTAAGCCCCAGATTATGGCATAGATGTGTCTCCATTTAACTTTCTTCCCCCAAAAAACTCAAAATTCTCTCTGTGAGCGTCAGTTTCAGGTGTTTGTAATTATGTAGTTGGATGTCACAAGCAAACTGGTTGATCCACTTTGACAAGGTGCTGCTTATAAGACTGAGTTTGTTGCAGCTCCTCAGGCTGAAGAAGTCTTTTGGATAAAAGATGAAATGTTTCAGCAAAGAAGAATCCGTCCAGAGGACCTGACTTAACCTGGTTATATTTATCTACCTGGATTATTGAGCAGCATCAAGACAATCCTCTGAACTGAAAGTTTAAGACTATTCATGTGAAACTCATTAAACAAATAGAATTTGTTAATTTTTTTGTTGCTTTCAGTCTAATCATGTTCATATCCTAAAACCACCTGTTCTTGTTTTGTTCAGCTGTCTTTAAATATACAAACTTGTATTTTTGTTCTTCTGTCGTTTGAAGGTCTCCGCATGTGTTTGTTTTTTTCTCTGAAAGGGAACCCATGCTTTGCTCTGAACTGTCTCTGCAGGCGAATGTCAGATGGTTTGTTCCTGAGAAAATGTCGGGAGGTGGCGGAGAACTACAAAGACATCAGATTCACAGAGATGTACCTGGACACCGTGTGCCTCAACGTGAGTTCGCTGCAGCCACTCGGGTTGTTCATCCCAGAGGAGGGAGCTTCACCTGCTCTCAAGTGAACAGTGGCTGAGTGTTTCTGTCCAGGTGATCAGAAACCAGTCTAGATGAGGCACATTCAACGTGTCCACCATGTCTTTCTGGCCTCTACTGGAACAAACAATCTGGACTAACTAAAACTCTCACAAAACTAAACATGCAACCATCCATATCTAGATAAACCACTAGTAAAACAGTCAGTGGTTGTAAGGCTGGGTAATATGAACCAAAAAATAATCTCAGTATTTTTATTCTCATAAAGTAATAACAAAAAGACATTTCTCAGTCAAAACTACAAGTCCCAAATGTCACTCGGGCACTTTTTAATTACCGTAATTCTCTGACTTTAGAACGCACCTGTGTCTAAGCCGCACTTATTAAATATAAGATAAATCATAATTTTGTACATAAATAAGACACTACGGTTATTAAGCCGCGGGCATCCACTGTTCAGAATCTGTGCCCAGTCTGCTCCGGCTGTGTGCAGCTTCCTTGTAGTACAAGAATCAGCAGATGGCTGTTCACAGAATATAACTTGCTTTCAACACACACTCAGTCTGTAAGATCGTCACGTCTTCATGAAGCTTGGCTGTCTCACTCATGTTTACAGCCTTTATACCTTCAAAATGAACACAATAACTATCTTAAGCATAATCACTGAACAGAACAGTGCCAAACACCTACGTAACTGAAATTATTTAAAAATTATTTACCGGTAAAACCCAGTCTTATCTAGTTCATGTAGTGGAAGTCAAATGGTACCGGTAGAATGCAGTAAATATTCATTAAATTAGTACCATTGATTTTTATTGGTAAACACTTTTGTTAGCAACTGCTGTTTTTAAATATACTTTCTATATAGATTTGACGTGATTTCTGCTCAGCAGAGTTCATATGGGCAGGACGGTGGAAGAGCCCCTCCCTCCCCGACGTCTGGAATTTCCAGCCAACCGTGAATTTGTTTGCGAACACAGATGCCTTCAGGGTTCACAAAAAAACAGGGTGATGACAACTGATTACAACCACACATTCGTGGAATGATCAAATTATCGTATATTTGGCCTTTTTTGGGATTATTGATCGAACATCGTACAGAGGGCAAAATTGTCGTACAAATACGATAATTATCGTACACCTGGCAACACTGCCACCGCTGTGCTCTCATGACGGAGGGGGTAAAGACTCCTTTTTCCGCTTCGTGTTCAGATGTGACTTTAAAATGAGATCCCAGTATTTAAATGCATATTCACCGACACAGAAAGAATTTTAAAACTTTGATTAGAACATGTAACTGCTTTTGCGTCTCAAATCCTGACCGCTGACACGTTGTCCAGCTTACATGGGCAGCAGCTCTGTCCTCCTCGACAGCCGGTCGCTTTTAACATGAAAGTTGCATCATAAGAAATTCTCTGTGCGTTTTCCATTATCTCTGAACAAATGAACAGGTCTGTGCATGAAGCGCAAAATACGATAAACAACACGGGAACTATCTGGAGAAATGAATGCGCGTTTATCTTGGGGCTTGGACCTCGAGAGTACCCGTTGATCATTCAGGTTAGACTTCTGGTCACATGATGACAGAGTGGGTGGAGTTATAGTAGGAATTTGAAACCATGAGCAACCTGAGGACTTTCTGTCTGTGTCACTAAAGCCTGCCCCCATGAGGGGTTGCCATAGGTTAGGGTTGGCCACAAGCACCCAGCTGTCAAAGGAAAATGCTAGTCAGGGGCAGGAAACTACAGAGACGGCAGGAAGTCTTTCAAAATAAAATGTAAAAATTAAAATTTTGAAAATTATGAAAAAAAATACATAAACAAGACACTCCTTCATATAAACCGTGGGTACAAAGTGTGAGACAAAATGCTTATAGAACGGCAATTACCATATTGGAATTACACCTGTATACCTAATTACACACACAATTACTAAAAGTAGGGCTGCACAATATGGACCAAAATTAATATCTCAATATTTTATGATAAATTGCGATGATATATATCTCAATATTCAAATCTCTGCTAAGTTCATAACACAAACCAATGCAGACATGTTTCTGTTTTTAGTATTTTATATCACTTTATAATGTAGCTGTTTTTGTTTAGTTTTTTTCATATAATTTTCTTCCATTTATTTTTTCAATTCATATGCTTTTATGATTGTCTTCATTATGTGTTAAAAACAGGTCTCTCTTCTAAATGAGTACCGAGGCGCAATGAGACAAACCTGTATAAATAAAGGTTGAATTATTTGTTTTTTTTCTTTCCATAAAGTAATAAAGAAAATATATTTCTGAGTCAAAGCTTTGTCCCAACTGTCACACAGGCACATTTATTAACCAACAGCTGTAACTACTAAATGTCTAAAAAAATTAACTATTTACCGTACATATATTAAATAATAATCCTCTTCAGCTGCGCCGTCTTCACAACTTTGTAAGCATGTGTGAAGCAGCACGTGAAGCATCACTAAGACACGGTCCTGGGCTGGTGCGCACGGGTCAGGTTCTGCGTTTGTATTCAAAGAGGGAGAAGGAGGAGGCTGTGTGAGTTGGAGGCGCAAACGACATAAAAAGAACTACACGCATTTTCAAGTCTAATAATACTCAATAGTTGCGATAGAGCCATTTTAACCGTCGTAAATAGAAAATCTTGCGATACATAGAGTAAATTCGATATAATCCCCAGCCCTAAGTAAAAGTGTGCCAAAAGCTGCCATGTTGTATCATTTCTGATGTATAGACAAAAAAACATCTGACCATTAATTTGCCACAGAGGAGTAAAGACAATGATGTGTTCAAGATCTTGTGTGACCAGATCAGATCAGACCTGAGCTGTGAAACATCTCGTTTCTGTCTCTGGTGTTTAGATGGTTCAGGATCCGACCCAGTTCGATGTCCTGGTCATGCCCAATCTGTACGGGGACATCCTCAGGTCAGTGTCCGTCCACTGTGAAACTTTGGTTTTGGGTGTGAGCGTTCATGTCATGTGACTGTGTTTCAGTGACCTGTGTGCTGGTTTGATTGGAGGGCTCGGCGTAACACCAAGCGGCAACATCGGAGCCAACGGAGTCGCCATTTTTGAATCGGTTTGTTTCATTTTCTGCTGATTATTTTTTTTAACTATGTGACACTGACCTGAGATCTGCAGTCATAAACCACGTCCTTCAGCTATCAAACAGGAACTCAAACTTCAAGCATCTCAGATTGATTTTATTGAAACAACATATTCTTTAGTCTCTGAATATAAACCTGGTTCATCTTTAAGGAAATTATTTCACTCTGACTTTGAAGGAAAAGCCCTGACGTGTGTGTTTGTGTTTCAGGTGCACGGCACCGCCCCTGACATCGCTGGCATGGACATGGCCAACCCCACTGCCCTGCTGCTCAGCGCCGTCATGATGCTGCGTCACATGGGGCTGCACGACTTCGCCCACAGGATCCAGACGGCCTGTTTCGACACCATCAAAGACAAGAAGGTGAGACTGTTCACAGACGACCATGAAGCACAGGTTGTTGTGGAAACAGCCTGATGCTGTGTTCAAGTACCTGTTTGTCTCTGAAGTCCTCTCAGTGGCTGCATCTTTTACTCCTGTCTTCATGAGCAGTAGATTCTGTGTTCCCAAAGGACTGGTATAGGGTTTTCAAAATTAAAAAAACGTTGACCATTTGGATGTTCCCTGAATGACTGACATGCTGCTGTTCCCCCACTTGGCAAATATTTGGCTCATTCAACAGACAGTTCAGTGAAATGTCTGCGTAGATGAGTCCTTCCTCTGATGGTTCATAAGTAACATTTAGTAACAGGTGAAATGCTTACATCCTGCTTACATGTGAGCTTCAAGTAGAACCAAAAGAGATGGAGCAGAACTCTTCTGTGGTGAAGTGAAGCGCGGTGCATTCAATGTGTGTCGGACGTCTCCCTCGTGTCATTTACTTTAATGAATTTACTCACTTTAGTAATCCTCTTTGTGGTCAACAATTTTAAAAAAACTAACTACAAAGTTCATGTGCATCATCATCATTCGTCCTCTGGTAATAAATCTGTTTGTTGTTGTTTAATCCCACAAATGGATGGTCACACCTAAAGTCATGAGTTGAGACAGAGTTCCCTGACATGATCACAAACCGGAAGACCAGATGTCCCGTGTCATTACTCATTTATAGGCCCTAGACTCCTCCTTCACAGAAGGGAAGCACAACCTGTCATGTGTATGAGGGGGCGTGACTAAGTGTGATCTCAATGATCTTACGTGGTTTGACGTGTAAGGAGAAATGAGACGGTGCTTCAAAAGCCTTTCTACGTGATGTAGCAAGCAGAAATAAACTCTAGTCCTTGACGGATATTGAATCCCTGTGAGACTCTTTTTGGAGTTGCTGGCCCCGTTTAACCCAGTCAGAACTGGGTCATAATTTCATTATAATCCCGTCTCTGAGCAGATCAAAAAACTCCAGGACCATCCATCCATTCATCCATTACCTTTTACCCGCTTCTTCCATTTTGGATCACAGGGATCGCCGGTGCCCATGTCCAGCAATCACTGTGCGAGGGGCGGGGTACACCCTGGACGGGTCGCAAGTCCATCACAGGGTCGCAAGTCCATGGATCCAGTCTGAGATTGGATGCTTCTCCCCTCCCTCTCCGCTTTGCTTTGCTGCTCTGTCTGCGAAACTGATTGTGAGACTCTCTTGCATTTCTTCCGAACCATAATTATGGACTTGTTTTGATCAGTTGGTCCCTCAACTCAATTTACAACAATTCTTCAAGAGAAGACAGGCTTCAGGTGAGCCGATATGCCCTGATGGCACGCATGCAGCTGGATATCTCATCGACTGGAAGACTTGATGATGTGTCTATCTCTGCTGCCACTTGTGGATTTTAAGGACGCATATTTAACTGGATTTTCAATAACTGGTTCCTGCTTTTTGGATGCGGCTGGTGGCTGGTTTTATCTACAATCAAGGAAGTCATCAGCAGCAAATTTGGACCCGATCACGCTGCTTGCCTTTATGATGGCTTGGTTCGTGTCTCGAGTACCTGGACTCAAATGCTTTGGGCTGAATGGATCAGATCTTGGGGATTTTTACTCAGTCATGTTCCATCGGTGTGGCTGTATTATTTGGACATTTCGGAACCGAGTGGACCAAACACAGACTCAAGGTAGATGTCATTAAGTTCTGCCTGTCCCCAAAACAACTGTGTTTATCTGAATTTGGCGCCCTTGGCTGGCCTTGAAGGCCATCTTATCTGAATTTGCCTGGAGAACATGTGATCTGACGCTCACCACCCCCTCCCCGAGCAATTTCCAACTGATAACCAGAGGAAACCAGCTGAATAAACTTGTGTCATCATTTCAGGACTCTTGGATTCTCATAGACGTTATTCTTGGCCATTCCCCGACATACCTCGAGAATGTTTACGGATCTCACCGGAGGACAATGGCTGATTATTACATCTTTATCAGAACTCTTACAGTGCCCTCGAGAGCATCTATGAACATGCTTACCGCTCTCGTCGTCCCCCCTCTGCAGAATGTCTACGTCACTATGTGCTTGTTTGTGCGAGGTGTTTTTTAATATCAGAGTTTTTTCTTCTCAGGCAGGAAAAAAAAAAGTCTGATAGGAATTTTTTCGCCTCCAATTCCTACATGTGTCCAGTTTATCACTTTTGTCTGTCCAAACGGGTGTCACTTGTAAATGATTATTTGAGGCTCAATGTGACTTATCTGTTTAAATAAATGTTGAATGAATGAGTGTGTTAATAGTCCAGAGGAGGAGTGAGACACAGGTCAGGAGGTTTCTGTTAAGAGGGGCTTCATTTGACCCTCGTGGTGGTCTGACGACCTGAACCCATATTCACACACAGCAGCTGCACTTTGGGTCTGAGAGGTTGTTTGATTCATTAGCTGCCCTGCAGAAGAAAGGATGACATTGTTACCACGCAGTGTTTCCCCTAGTTAGCTTGCCATGGTGGGGTGCTCATCTCATCCATGATTTTTGCTGATGGGGGGGGGGACGGAGACATGTCTGAGCGCAGCTTGTACCAACAGTTTTTGAGCGGGGGTGGTGGGTGTTCAACATGAGGGAAGAGGCAACGTGAGTGCTGCCTTTGGCTTTTTAGCTAGAGAGCCTGTATTTTGCGCTGCTACCTTAGTGATATGTCAGTGCCGGGTAGATGTGGGAGGGGCAAGTTCAGTTTGGTTGGCGGGGTGCTCAGTTCTGTTGACGGGGTGGGGCACCCCACCTGTATAATGGTAGGGGAAACACTGCCATGGAAACAGGTTTGTTTGTCTTCCTTCTGATGAGTCGTTCTGTTTTTGTTTCAGGTGCTGACGAAGGACCTGGGGGGGAGCTCTAAATGTTCAGAGTTCACAGCTGAGATCTGCCGTCGAGTTCAAGACCTAGCCTGAAGCTGCAGCACTGAGTGGGGGTTGAGGGGGGGGCCGCTGCAGGACTCGTCCCGTCTCCCCCAACCTGTCGCACCGTCTGCTTCGAGCTGTTGCTCATGGTTTCTAACATTCAGAGTAAAAACTGTATTTATGGAGGTGGGGGGCAGTGCTCCTGCTGCAGCTTCCTGTGTTAATGTTCACAAGCAAGACGCACAAGTTTGACCCGACCAAAAATCAGATCATCTTTACTGCTCTCATTTCATCTCGTATTGTTTTTAACGGTTCTCTGTAACCGCAGCTGAAGTGTCCTTTTATTTATTGTTTTTACTTCCTGCACTTCTTTTTCCTCTCGCAGAACCACAAAATATACAACTTTCTACGAATAAAGACGTCACTGTGTGTTTTATTTTGTAATCAGTTACGTTACCCTGCACTTTTATTTTTGAGCTTTTGTTGTACGCTGCTCTGGTTCAGGTGGTTCTGACTGGTTGTTTGGATCCATCAGTAACTAAAACTACCGTCTGTAAACGGTTCTGTTGTGTTGAGTAATGGGATGGGAGCTCCAGACCACTGATACGTTGGGCTGTTTTCACTGGTCGGATATTAAAGTTAAATAAACGTTTGTTGCGTTTATTTTTCTGTACTTCTTTATGTCTGGGTATTTTACCATTAATCAAAATGTTTCATATAATTTTAACACTTCAGTATGTCAAACTTCATTGTAAATAAAATTCCTTCACGGTGGGTCAGCGTTTTAGCGAGAAGGTTGTCGGATTGAATCCCGACCTGTGTGGAGTTTGCATGTTCTCTCCGTGCATGTGTGGGTTTTCTCCTAGTATTCCAGTTTCCTCCCACAGACCAAAAATATGCATGTTAGGCTGATTGGTAACTCTAAATTGTGCCTAGGTGTGAAAGAGCGTGACTGGTTTGTCTCTGTGTCCCTGAGATGGACTGCTGATGTGGCTGCTGGATATGGGCACCAGTATCCAGATATGGCCACCAGTATCCAGATATGGGCACCAGTATCCAGATATGGGCACCAGAGACCCAGAAAGGAAGAAGCGGGCATCTATGGGATGGGATGGGTGTTATCGTTAAATCTCGTTTCAGCATATTTGTTCAATTTTAATTGCTTTTAATGCAACTTAAAGCTATAATTTTACTGCCAAAAGTGATTATTTCGTTTAAAATAAAATTAAAAACCAACTTTCTGGCCCTGTAGGCAAATCGGAACAGGACAGTGTAGAGTTCAGGCTTTAAACAGCATGAAATGCTCCGTGCATGCAGTTAATCTCCCTCTCCTGAGGGTCATTAAGGTCTGTTCTCTAGCTCACGTTTTGGTCACATGCATGAAAGTGTGAATTAGAGGGAAAAGAATTGAGAATCAAGTCTAATGCTGCAATGTAGATTTGAGAAAGTTCCCTCTCGGTTGGTACACTTTGTACAACACGAGTACGGGGATTGTGCCTTAAAGACCAACCTGAAAATTTTCTTTCAACACGTCTGTCAAGGCCAATGAGGCTGCTGCATATGCAGGATGCCCCGCCCTCCTGCCTTATAATATGCAGTATGGTCTCAATTTCCTAATCTTTTTGCATTTCACCTCACTTTATCTGATTGCAGGTGTCTTGTATGACTTTACTGTATGATGAGGTGAGCTTGCTCACCAATTGCAAGATAATTGCAAGACTCATCAATTACAAGATACACTACATTGCCAAAAGTATTCACTTTCCTGCCTTGACTCACATATGAGCTTAAGTGACATCCCATTCCTAATCCATAGTGTTCAATGTGACATTGGTCCATCCTTTGCAGCTAGAACAGCTTCAACTCTTCTGGGAAGGCTGTCCACAACGTTTAAGAGTGTGTTTATGGGGATGTTTGACCATTCTTCCAGAAGTGCATTTGTGAGGTCACATACTGATGTTGGACGAGAAGGCCTGGCTCTCAGTCGCCGCTCTAATTCATCCCAAAAGTGTTTTATCGGGTTGAGATCAGGACTCTGTGCAGGCCAGTCAAGTTCATGCACACCAGACTCTGCATCCATGTCTTTATGGACCTTGCGTTGTGCACTGGTGCACAGTCATGTTGAAAGAGGAAGGGACCAGCTCCAAACTGTTCCCACAAAGTTGGGAGCATGGAATTGTCCAAAATGTCTTGGTATGCTGAAGCAGTCAGAGTTCCTTTCACTGGAACTAAGGTGCCAAGCCCAGCTCCTGAAAAACAACATCACCATAATCCCCCCTCCACCAAACTTTACACTTGGCACAATGTAGTCAGACAAGTACTGTTCTCCTGGCAACCGCCAAACCCAGACTCGTCCATCAGATTCATTCAGATTGCCAGATGGAGAAGTGTGATTCGTCACTCCAGAGAACGTGCCTCCACTGCTCTAGAGTCCAGGGACAGCGTGCTTTACACCACTGCACCCGACACTTTGCATTGCACTTGGTGATGTATGACTTGGATGCAGCTGCTCAACCATGGAAACCCATTCCATGAAGCTCTCTGCGCACTGTTCTTGAGCTAATCTGAAGGCCACATGAAGTTTGGAGGTCTGTAGTGATCGACTCTGCAGAAAGCTGGCGACCTCTTCGCACTATGCATTTCAGCATCCGCTGACCCCGCTCCGTCAGTTTACGTGGCCTACCACTTCGTGGCTGAGTTGCTGTCGTTCCCAAACACTTCCATTTTCTTATAATACAGCTGACAGTTGACTGTGGAATATTTAGGAGCGAGGAAATTTCAGGACTGGATTTGTTGCATAGGTGCATCCTATCAGTTCCACGCTGGAATTCACTGAGCTCCCGAGAGCGACCCATTCTTTCACAAATGTTTGTAAAAACAGTCTGCATGCCTAGCTGCTTCATTTTATACACGTGGCCATGGAAGAGATTGGAACACCTGATTCTGATAATTTGGATGGGTGAGCAAATACTGTTGGCAGTAGTGTACATTGCAATTCATAACCCTCCTGCTTGCTGCTAGTTTAGCCTGCTAACTTGCAACATTTATTATCCCTGTTTAGTTAGCACAGCTAACAGTATTTTTTTCTGTGTATGGATGGAACAGGAAATCTGGTTACCATCTCCTCATGGTATATGGTTCATGAAATGGGTTCTGTGTAAAAGGCCACTGTGCAAAACACCGGTGCCTCAGTGGGACCTATCGCTGGTTTTAGATGCGCTGTATGATGCATTTTTCAAACCTTTAGAAGTAGTCCATGTGATTATGCTGTCATATAAAACAGCACTTCTTCTGGCCTTGTGCTCAGCAAGACATGAGTGACATCCATGTGTTTTTGGTTCACCATTTACCCAATTAATGTATGATGGTTCCAAAGTCACTTTATGCCCCAACGTCAGCCCATGACATCGCCCAAGCTGTTCTTTAAACAGAAGAGATGAACATGCATGCCCTTGTCAGGACTATGTTGTCTAAATCTTTCTGCATATGCATTTTTGGGGCATGATTTGTAGGGCCCCATACTCATGTTTTACCGAGTGCACCATCCAAAATGGAAGAAGAGAATCAAGGTTCAACACAAGCCAGCCCCTCAAAGCTCCAGAAGCTCGGTAAAGTGCATTGCACACAAGGGAAATGAGACCATGCTGCATATGACCCATGAGGGTGGGGCCTCGTGCGTATGCTGCATCCTCATTGGCCTTGACAGACGTGTTGAAAGAAACTTCTTCAGGTTGGTCTCATGAAGGCACAATCCCTGGGGGATTGATGGGGAGCGATGGTGCAGAGGTTAGAGAAGGTGGGCCGATCAGAATGTCGCCAGTTTGACTCCCTGAACCAACAACATCAATCAAAAATGTGGGTGGAAAAAGTGAAACACCCACACCTGCCTGCCTCCACCCTCATTTGCCCTACTCTGGGCCCTTGAGCAAGGCCCTTAACCTCCACCATCTGCTCCCAAACAGGTCTCTCTTGAAAGTGAGTCCCTGTGACTCAATGAGACGACACTGGATAAAGGTTAAATAAAGTCCCCATACTCGTGCTGTACCTCGTTTCTCTCGCTCAGGGAACAGGTTATTTAACCTCCAGACTCCTCTGTTCATATTTTTCTTCATTTATTTATATAAATGGCTTCTTTCAACCCCTTTCACACCAGCTCCCTTCTCTGTTCAAAATATATTTACCTTGGTGTCCTTTATCCATATAGTTTATTAATTTGCAATGTCCTGGAAGAATTTACACTAGTTAAGAGCTACAGTCCAGTCCTTTTTAGTGTTTATATTCTGCCTCTTTTTCAGCCTTCTTTATTTCTGTTCTTCTCATTTATGCCTCCAATTTTCAGTTTATTTATTTGACTTGGTTTGAGTCGTTTGTTTATTGCTTGCTTTATTTGTCCAGTAGGTGGCGGTAAAGAAACTGGATACGAGTTGTGTACGACCAATAACCACAGAAGAAGAAGAATAAACAGGAAGTTGTCGTCACCTTCAGTTTCTGTCGGAAAATAGGATAAAAAATACAAATAAGAAAAACCTTTCTAACTGCCTTCACGGGACACGGTGATTCAGTGTCAACCCAGTGGGTTCCAGCACCATGGCGGCGGTGGACGTGGAGGACGAGAGTATCCTGGTGTCCGTGTTTCGGAACAGTTTCCCGGACAGCTGGAGGGAGCAGCCGGACCTGGCGGCCTACCTGTCGGAGCTCAGCTCCTTCGGGGTGGACAAACTGAGCCGGGAGCCCGAGCGGCTGGCGGAGGAGCGGGCCCACATCCTGCAGCAGACCCGGGAACTGGCCTTCTCCAACTACCAGACCTTCATCCGAACCGCCGAGTGCACCGAGCACATCTACCGGGACTTCGGCCGGGTGGAGAGCAGCGTGTCCCGGCTGCTGGACAAGCTGCCCCTGTTCGGAGAGAGGTGCAGGTGAGTGAAACAAACACACCCAACCCGACGCTGCTGGAAGAAAATTCAATTCGTTGTTTTTATTATTTTTATTAACAACTGTGTCAAAGTGTGAATTTATTTACCGTTCATCATGAAGTGAAGTTTCCGATTCCACAGTTTATAAAGGGCTGTGATGCAAGAGTTGGGGGTTCTAATCCAGTAGCAGTCACATACCGAAGTGTCCCTGGGCAAGACACTGAACCCCTCATTGCCTCTGATGTGTCCCATCAGTGTCTGAATGTGATGAAGCTCTGATTAATCTTTGTAGAGATCCAGTAGAGTGCTGTATGAATGTATAAATGAGGCACAGGTTGTAAAGAGCTTTGATCAGATAGAAAGAACATATCAACACCGTCCATTCAGGGCCTTCATGAAGGAGGCGGAGGAGATCGGAGCGAGTCGTCGCATGAACAGCCTCACTCTGAACCGCCACACAGAAATCCTGGAGATCCTGGAGATCCCGCAGCTCATGGACACCTGCGTCCGCAACGGCTACTACGAGGAGGCTCTGGAGCTGACTGCGTACGTGAAGAGGCTGGAGAAGAAGCACTCGTCACTGCCGGTCATCCAGGTGAGTTCAGCTGAGGGAGCTGAGCCACGTGTGTTTACTGAGAGGCTCTTGAGCTTCTGTAAGTCACTTTATCCAGGTTCTTTTAGAATTTGATCGTGTCTGGACTCAGATGTTCATTCAACCTTTATTTAGACGGTAAATCCCATTGAGCCTCAAGGACTCATTTACAAGAGAGACCTGATTTCAACAAAGAATGATGACAACAATAAACAGTTATAAAAAGTCATACTCCAGTTTTTCTTTTTTTTTTTTCATGTGGATGTGAGATGTGAATCTCCGACGTTTATCCGTCAGGACTGGTTGACCTCTGACCTCTTGCTTCTGCAGGGAATCGTGCGTGAGGTGCGTCAGTCAGCTCAGCTCATGCTCAGCCAGCTGCTGCAGCAGCTGCGCACCAACTCTCAGCTGCCTGTGTGCCTGCGCGTTATTGGGTACCTGCGGCGGATGGACGTGTTCACGGAGGCGGAGCTTCGGGTGAAGTTCCTGCAGGCGCGCAGCACCTGGCTCGGCTCGATCCTCGCAGCCATCCCTGACGACGACCCCTATTTCCACATCACCAAAACCATCGAGGCCTGCAGGGTGCACCTGTTTGACATCATCACGCAGTACAGAGCCATCTTCTCTGACGATGAGCCGCTGCTGCCGCCTGTGTCCGACCAGGCGCCGCTCAACGAGGGCGCCATCTTCCATGGCTGGGTGGTGCAGAAGGTGGCAGAGTTCCTGGAGACATTGGACAGGGACCTGCAGCGTGGTGTGGGGAGCCGTCTGGACTCCTTGTTGGGACAGTGCATGTACTTTGGCCTGTCCTTCAGCAGGGTGGGGGCAGACTTTCGCGGACAGCTTGCGCCCATGTTCCAGCGGGTGGCGGCGGCGACGTTTCGTGGGGCCGTGCAGGAGGCCGTGGACAAGTTCCAGGAGGACATGAACCTGTACACACTGATCAACCTTCCCTCGGTGCTGGGGGGCACCATCCCCCCTGTGGCCCCTGGCATCCAGCCTGGCACCCTGCAGCCCCCCATGGCCCTGCTGGACTTCCAGCCGCTCGCCTGTTTCCTCAACAACATCCTGAGCGCCTTCAACGACCTGCGGCTCTGCTGCCCCATGGGACTGGCGCAGGACGTCAGCACGTGTCTGCAGGACGCCCTGAAGATGGTGAGTTAGCCCCGCCTCCTTTCTGTCTTCACACCTGACCTACAGGTGAGTTCAGACCTCTTTGGACTGGAGTCTGTCACCATGGTAACGCACTGTAAGGTGAAACAGACAGGAGAGGACGTCCCACCTTCGTCACCTCTTTTTGTTTAGTTATAAATTATTTCACTTCATCTGATTCACTTGTTTATCTCAGGAACTTTAGTTTCTGAATGCTGTTCGTCAGACATTGTAAACCCTGGTGATCACTGTGGGGTGGGAGGTTTCCTGCAGCAAACTTACTGAACATTTTGGGTTACCTGGATGAGTTTTCTCTCATTAAGGTCATCATGAAAGCTGTTAATCTGTTACTGGACTGACTGTGAACAAATGTCTTGAAATTCAGATTCCTTCCACCTCTTGATGCACGTATGACTGGCTCGCTGGAGGAGGTCCAGCTGCTCGATGTTCCTCCTCCTCCTGAAGTCCAGCTCCGCTTCATGTTTTCAGTCCGGCAGAGTTTCGATGCAGCGGGGGATGAGGCTGTTTGGTCGCCTGCAGTTGCAGCTGAACTCGTGCTGCTGTGGTTTATGTGCTGCTCTGTCTGCCCGCTCAGCTGCTTCCAACAGGCCGGACCGACCACACGTTGCCAGCGTTGATGTTGGTGGTTTCCCAGCTGCACAGAAACCGTTTCCTTTATACGTATAGCCATGAAAACAGGCTGGTTCTGGAAAATCCCCCAATGTTTTTCTCGTGCTGTTGTTTGTGTGTCCGGTGTTTTCTCATGCTTCTGTTTTTCCGCCAGGTGACCCGTCAGATTCTGGCGTTCCACAGGGCTGAGGAGTCGGCCTTCAGCAGCAGAGAGAAGGAGCTGTTTGTTCAGTTCTGCTCTTCGTACGCTGAAGACCTGCTGCCCTTCCTGAACCGCTGCCTGCAGGTTCTGTTCCCTCCAGCTCAGCTGGCGCTCATTCTGGGTGAGGACTTTTTGTGGAACCACTTCTTGGTTGTTTCTGTCCAAATTCAGCGAATAGGAACAATCTCGTGCTCCAAGTTGAATCAGACTGAGAAGTTGCTGGAGAAGCTGCACCACCTGCTGCAGCCTGCAGGGGGCACTACTGACAGGAGGGAGGTCTCAGACCCAGTTTGGACCTGGGATCTGATCATGAGTTTACAGTTTGAGCATGTCCTGGTATTAAAACATTTGGTGGCGAGGTTTGGATTGATGAACGTTTCTGATCAGTTTAATAATTAGTTTTGGCCCAGAAGTGTTAACTTAAAGCTCAGCTCATTGATTGGTTTCTTTAAGAGCTTGAAGGAATGCATGTCACCTGCTCATTTGTCTGTTAGCAAAATATCTAATGAACTACTGGATGGATTTAAAGCAGTGCTTCTCAATGAAAAAAAAATCAAATTAAATATAATCAATAAATAATAATAAATTCAAATTGATCAGCAACATTTTAACTCAGGAGTGTTATATAAAACGCTTTGACCTACAAAACAAAAATGAATAAAACAATTTGTGCTGATTTTTAAATTTTTTTAAATCAAAAGGAGGACGTCAGGATTAATGTCTACAATGAGCACGTTTTGCAGTGCACAGCTTGTTGAAGTTTGAAACATGACCCTGCAGCTCTCGGCTCCTGCTCAGTGTTTACCTGGACCTGGTCTCAGAGCAGCAACAGCAGAGAAGCTGCGCAGAGCGAGCGGGCTGGGGGGGGACCAGGGGAACGCGCTCACAAGAGAAGAACCTGACAAGTTGTTTAGTGGCATAAATATATTTTGTTAGCAAAGAATAGAGTCCTAACATTTGTTAAACATCTGTTTTTACAACAACAACAAAAAAAATCTAAATTGTGTTTGACAATCGATGAAACTAAAAAATGTTGTCAACTTGAAAGAAGAAGGGGGGGCAGGTGTCGCTCTCACTTTGAGTTTATTCTCTTTGTTGCATGCGTGCTGTGGGTGACGAGCGTCACCAGCGGAGGAGGTGTCAGAGTTTCTCAGCAGCGGAGGGGAGCGGCACGCTTCAAACATGGCTCCCCAAACAACAAGACATATTTGTTCATAACTTTATTATTAGTAAAACTGAGAGTTGCTGGATTTTAGCAAACAGTTGCTGAACGCACCCTGACAAAATGACAAAAAACTATTCCCTGTTGCAAAATGTTCCCCGGGTCACATGCACCCCCCTGGCATTGCTCCGGGCCCCCCCAGGGGGGCACCCCACTATTTGAGAAGGACTGATTTAAAGAAACCCCAGAATCAGTCACTGGTTAACCTTTGTGTCATCCCAGTTAAACATGGCCGTCAGATAATAAAACTTCTACCTTCTTCATGCTGTTTAACATCCTGTCATCTGCTCAGGTGCTCTCTCCTGATTGGCTGCTGTGTGATCATGTGATCACTCGGGTGTGTTGTCTCTCTGCAGGTGTTCCTGCCTCGCAGCTGCACAGGTACCGCGGTCTGGGCAGCATCGACGTCGCTGCAGTTCTACAGCCCCTGGACTTTGTCCTTCCTCAGAAGGAAACCCCGCTTCTGTCGCTGGAGGTCGACGTCACGGCCGAGCTGGGCAGCCTCACCTTTGACCCGCACCTCTCAGATCCAGAACCTGCGTCCACTCAGTCCGGTCCTACAGAACCGGAGCCTGCAGCTGAACTGAAGCGTGATGAAGATGGGGGACAGGAAGAAGAGCATCCAGAGTGAAACTGGATCTCTGGGGCAGTTCTGGACAGGTTCAAAGAACCTGTTTGGACTCAGGTGGTGGGATCAGAACTTTCTGGACTGGTCTGAACTGGGAAACACATTGTTGGAAGTATAACAGTGTTTTCTGTCCACATGTCTGATTTTTGGTGTCTTTCATGACTCGGTCTCTTCCTACACGTGCCGAAGCTGCAGCCAGAAAGGTCAAAGGTCAATCTGAGACTCCTTCAACTGAGCTGCCGTGGAGATCGTTTTGAGAGAAGCCTCAACATGATCAGCATCGTTTGTTTCAAGTCCAGGATGTCAGTCCTCAGTGAAAGTACAATTATTACTGACGCACACGCTGCATTTAAAGATCGTCCTGTGTCCAGTGGTGCCTCCAGATTTATTTAATGTGTGTGTGTGTGTGTGTGTGTGTGTGTGGGGGGGGCATTTGTAATGTCACATCGGTTATTTGACAAATACAGAAACACTGGAGTAAGGCAATCACTTTCTAATGTGTATGTCTTTTTTTTTTTTTTTTACAGTTACTATTATTAAGAAAAGCACAGCCACTGGCCAACTTCATGAAACTCGTCCTCCTTAATTTGAATTTACACAAAAAATGCAGAAAACCTCAGACGTTGCCTCTTGATGTTGAGGACACTGGTTTTACACCTGTCATCTTTATTCAGGGGGACAAGATTGTTTTATTTTCAATTTTCCATAAAATACATATTCTTTAACTCAACTGATCAAAAGCAAGGTTTGTTCTCATGTCTGACGTTCTACTAATCCTAAATTGCTAGGATTAAAAATAATAAAAGCTTGGGACTCGAGGATAAAACTGTCTGGTCAAGGAGGGCCACGCATTTTTTTTAGGTGGCCATTGCCCCCTGGCCCCCCTCTGGTGGTGCCCCTGCCTTCGTTGCGTTGATGTAATGGGTTAATTCTTCGAGTGTAGGAGCTTTTTGTTGATGTTCAGGGACCAGGACAGAAGCAGAGGGAAAAGCTGCCAAAGAAAACCATTGAGATGCCTTCAGAGGCTGGTCAGCACCTGCCGGACATCATGTGACCGTTCACTGCAGACACGCACAGCGGTCCGACATC